TGCTTTCACTGGTCTACAATTTGAAGTACATAATATTTGCTGATGATACTGCACTGCTGTTTAGTGCAAAACAAATCCCTTGAATAACAACATGATATGCAACGCAGTCTACAAATGGCAGACATGTGGTTTCTTCAAAATAAGCTGACGCTGAATTTAAAAGAGACAAAGTTTATGTTGTTAGGCACTCGTCAAAGACTTACAACATTTTCTTATCTAGTTTTGTAAACCTCTATAATCGTCACATTGAAACTTTTAAGATCATATTAAAATATAATGGCATAATTCCTTTTCCTCTCTCTCTCTCTCTCTATTCCCCAAGCGAAGTTTTATTTCCATAATTTCAGTACATATTTACATTGATTACTCCATGACTGAATTAAAAAAAACATTGGCTAAAAACTAAATTACAACGTATATTCAACAATTCTTCCAGCTTATTATTAGTTTCTTTGCTAATACATTCATACTTTAAAAACAATTTTAGCAACGACTTGGCTTTTAATAAACAAACGAAGCAAAAAAATAACAGAACCATTGACAATTTTGTTGACGTAACATATTTTAATTGCATATCGCGCATAATGAACACAATATTGAGGAGAGCATATTTCTTTACCTACCTGTCCTGGAATGCTCCCCAGGGAGTGGAGAATGTGCATGCATTGTGTGCGGGTAAGCCTGAATCCTATGACCGGGGTTATAATATATTTATCTGTAAAGCGCTTTGAGAGGGCCTTCGGTCCTGAAAAGCGCTATATAAGAACTAGCTATTATTATTAATATTACAACTAATATATTTTTGTTTATTTGTGTAGTTCTACTTGGAATAGATAAAATATCAAATTACATAATATTTTCCAAAACATAATCACATCCTTGCAATACAACAAAAAGTGAAACGTTGAATCAACCTTTTTACAAGTGTTACAACAATTTTCCATTAATATAAATTTTCTTTTTTAATTGTTTAACTTTTTAATTACGAATTTGCTTTAATTCAAATCAAAATACATCCTTCCTAACAAATTCATTATCTAAATCTAGAAAGGAATTCAAAAAATAAATGACAATTTGTTCTCTTGACTTCTTCCGTACTTACAAACGATAGTAATCTTACACTTTAATAAACAAACAAATTTACCTTATTACCTTTTTCTATTTCTATGAGATTCGAAATATCATATTCGTCTTTTAAATCATTGACATCACGCAATTTATCTAACCACCACTCAAAAAATGATTTTTTTTTTCTTCAATTTTGTATATCTTAAATCAAATAAGAGCTGTTGTGCGTTCCCATTTGTCATTAATTAATTTAGGGTCATTCCAGATACCATTTGTAATCAAATTATCAATTTTCAAAAAACCGGCATCTTGCCATTTTCTATAAAAAACAATATTTTTTGTATAAAGGTAATGTTACTATTTTTCATATAGTTTCATTTGAAATATTTTTACATATCGATGAATCTTAGTACTGACCAAGTACAAAAGAAGAACTACATATACAACGTTCTGGCAAATTATGTTTAGTGCGTAATAAATTCATAACTTTTATATTACAATTGAACGGTAAAACAAAATGGCAAAACCCCTATTTTATCTGACCAGTATCTAAACATATTTTTCCAATTAGAACCATCATCATTAAGGAAACGAGATACCCATGACAAACAAAGTAAAAAATATTCCACTAGCAACATCAAACATATTCGATCCACCATTTTCAACATCATTTATTATTAATCATGCACGTTTAATTCCTTTTCTTTTTTTGGAATTCCACGCGAAAAAAAACAATAGTCTATTCAATATCTGTAAATCATGTTTTGGTACTGGTAAAATAGTTGGGGTATGCACAACTTGTGTTGCCGCCTACAATTTCATTAAAAAAAATTCTACCATAAAAAGTAAGACCGAATTTTATGTATTTGTACATTCCAGTTTAAATCTTATAACAATTTCGTATTTTCGCCTAAATACACTACAAAATATGTAACAGGTTGATCCGTATCTATAGTGTCATTATCATAATAAAAATTATCTACAATGTTCATGTTCATAACTTTTGTCTTATTCCAGTTTGCTTTCGAACCTGCAAAGTCTCAAAAATCGGTAATTTAAATCATAATATATTGTACATCATAAACAGAATTCACAAAAAATGTCGTACCGTCTGCATATTGGGGATATTTTTTAACTATCGATACCTAGATTTACACTGAATGTATCAATGTTTTTTGGGGGGTCTTATTTTACATGCTATTACTTCCACTAAAGATTTAAGAAAGTTATGCCGATAATTGACAACCCTGACGAACTCCTCTTTTAATTATAAACTTTTTTGAAAACATCCATTATTCATCACACGACCAATGGTATCAGTATAAAATTTCCTTATCCAGGTAAAAAAAAGGTTCTTTAAACTCTAATTTACAAAATACATGAAATAGGAAAAAATGGGATTCATTGACAAATGCTTTTTTTAAAAATCTAAACAAAATATAATCCCTGAACTATTGGATGTCTTCAAATAATGTATCACATCTTGTACTAACCGTATGTTGTTGTTTTTTGCTGCGGATCTTTTCTTTATTAAACCTCTTTGGTCAGTTGAAAAGATGCTTGATAAAACACGACGAAGTCTTTTAGACAATATACTCTTGTCGCAATTGTAATAACGAAATAGGTCTCCAATTGTCAAAATAACCCCTATCCCCTTCTTTAATAACAACTTTATTAGACACTGCCTTTGGGAAGAAGACGTTTTTTGTTTTTGATATCTCTCATTTAAACTTGCAAGCAAACCAATTCTTTAAGTTCTAACCAAAAAACCTTGTAAAACTCCGCATTAAGACCATTACTTCAAGGGTTGCGTTTTCACATTCCTTTTCAGTAACCCTTTCAACTCCAATGCCCCTTCTTCGGTCAGAGTATTAACCATTAAATATTTAAGATATTAAATAAGCGTTATGCTTGATGAAGAGTTGTTGTGGAAAGATCATCTCGACTATATAGCCCGAAAAGTCTCACAACGAAACGTGTTCTTGAGTGGATCTGCATAAACCTGTATTACCAAAGGAGTTTTGTTTAATGTTGTATTGTTCCCTTATTAATCTACTCTTAGACTCTGGCGATGTTGAATGGTCAAATACATCTTCAAGAATTATTATCAGGCTATCAAAATTACATAATAAAATTACAAGAATGATACTGGATGCACATCTGTCAACCCATGTATTTGACATATTTACTGTTCTAATTTGGAGAGAAATGCCTTTGCGATGGAATCAAATAGAACGATCCATTGCCTTAGTAATCTCGCAACCAATTATTTGGAATATATGTTCTCGCATCATTACATGCCTTTAAATTGTAATTGATTTATTCCATTTAACCCATTCATTCTTTTGACACAAGATTCCGGATGAATGGTTCGCTGAATAATACAATGAGAATGTTCAACAATGCTGTACAATCTTACTTTCGAATATATGGTATTTACAGGGTGGAGCAGTCTTTGTTTGAATCAAAGAAATAGTGGCTCATTCCATGCCTTTTAATAGTAATTGAATAATCCCATTACTATCAAATATAATCTACATATCAACGACAAAACATTGACAAATTATAAAATCCTGAGATATATTGCTAGTTTAATACGATATAGTTAGGTTGAGTTTAAAATTGTGTTTGATGTTGTTGTGATTGCTTTTGGTTTTGTTTAATTTGTTGGTAAATTCCAGCGAAAGTCTTTGAAGAAGTCTTGAAAATTGATAAACTATTCTTAATATGCCTTAAATCATTATTTGGTACATGCATATCAAATTTTATAATCAATTTGTCTATAATTTTAAACTTTAATCATATCGTTGTCTAAGCTCACTGACAATCTTATGCTCTAAAAATAATACTACCATTAAATTGATGAAAGTAAATAAATAATATAATGTTAATATAATTATACAACGTTGATAAAATATGCGGGGCATGACTATGCGATGGTCTACCGACATTACAAAATTAATAAGTTTTAGTATTGAGCTTAATATTTTAATCTACTGCTTCAGAAAAACCCAAATGTTTAGACCACTCGACTACGGCGCCTTTACACAAAACCTGTTCAGTCTTTTCGCAAGTGCCAAAGTTTTTTTAAATTTTCTTTAACAGCATCTCACAATCCGCCAGATGGTCTGACGGACAAGTGGTTGCGCAATGGCATATGTGATGGGATTGATAAGACTGTTGGAGTACGACGCCCAGCGAACAAATTCTGTAACGCCGGCAGGCATCTTACTCTTGAAGTCGAGGGCGATAATGGCTACGCTACTTGGCAACCAAGTCAAGAAGAACGCTACTGTAATCAAAGTCAGAGTTCGCATCACTTTGTTGCTATTGGATGATGATAGGTGACTAGGTTTCATACGACTGTCCTTGGCTGGTGTTGGCCCTGCGATCCTGCGAGTTGATATTTCTTGGGATGGATCCGATCGACTATTTAGCTGCCGGGACAAGGTTTCTGGATCTTCTCTTCTGGGGTCATCTTTTGAAGGTCTACAAGAGCAAATGCTGTTCGATTGGTTTGATGTTGAGTCCTAAGTATCTGTTTCTTGTTGTACATCGATAATTCCTTGCTGATTATGAACGTTGACAACAGTATCATCGTTTTGAACACCACTGGCGTTGATATCAATTCGGGTACCGTCATCGTTGTCAAGACTTTGATCGTGAGGGTCTGTCAAGGAAATGTCATTCGTTGTTTCACGCTGAAACTGAGTGTTTATGTCACCTTCGGCTTTGTTCATTGGTTTGAAGTTGAATCTCTTCCACAAACTCCGGCTACCAGAGGCTTTCACTGTAAAATGTATCTTTATATGAATAAAAGTAATAATGATAATGGGAACAGCAAAATTGGCGATTGTTACCGCAATACTGGTATAGAAATGTCGGCCATAATTTACCCAAAAGAAGCCTTTATTATGTGCTGCGTGAAATGGTTACACCAGGTTCCAGATCGTAGTGATAGGAATCCAGAAGGACAAAGCAACCACCCAAGTGAGACCATTGACAAGGTGCGCTATTCTTTTCTTCTTCCGTTGAAAATGCAGGATCGGGTAGGAGGTTGCCACGTAACGGTCCGAAGCAATCGCGATGATACCAAGTACGGACACACCAATCACTGAATTTTGAATACCAAGAAAGAAATGCCCGACGATGTCCCCAAAAATCCATTTCCGGAATAAATTGACGGTGCTACGGATCGCCATTATGATCCCTACTAGAAGATCAGAGATGGTGATGTTGAGGATGTACTGGTTGGAATAGGTGCGCAATTTTCTTTCGATGTGGAATGCCCTCAGAATCAAGGCGTTCATTGCCACTGTCATAGCTGATAGTGAAAAGAGTAGGCTGAAAACAACAACAGAGCCATCAGTAGTGTTCAATGTCAGATTGGCTGGCTCTGAGCTGTATCTTATTTGCTCGTCTATGTTCATACCCTGTACTTCGTTTTGTTTACAATCATTATTTTACCTCAATATGATTTTTGTTTCCCAAATTTTCTACTTCTGAAAGAAAAACCTTAGCAAACAAAATGTTTAATATATACAGAATAAATAAGAGACAGATTTTACCACTCATTGGAGGGTATTCGATACACTTGATAAAGCTGATACTTTTATATTTCAAATTGTAACCCTAAATGAGTTCTAACAGAGACACAACATCAGCAACCGTAGTAAAAATCAACATAACTTGATGTGACTATAAACAAAATTTCAAAATGGCAAGAAAGATAATCACCTCGATCCGGCAAAATGGTGTTCCCTCTTGAATGATCGATTGTGAGGTAAATCAGAAATTACGAAGTGGAGATCTACTTATATACTAATGCAACACGATATACCGCCGTCATGTTTGATTCATAGTCGAATTCTATACATTCTATAGATCGTGATAAAGCGTAGATCGTAACAAAGCGGATGGTGCTCTTCTTAGCAAGTATCTAGAGCAAAATAATATGTTGAAGTTAATATCTACGTATAGATAGATGTTAGACTTAGCAGTCATTTCTTAAAGAAGCATTGAACATGTATAGTCATATCAAAAACAATCTAAAGGTTGTAATAGCACGAACCCTCGCTCATGTCCGCCTGGTTTCAATAGTAGTACTATTTCGTCATCAATTATATGACCTTGCCTTTAAAATATCGCAGCTTTGATAAGGTGTGGTATAAAACTATTCAAGGAATGTTTCCTTCTGATTCCTATTGAAATCACCTGGTTTGCGTGTGGCAAATATAAGAATAATCTGCGTTTGTTCGTAATGTTGGTTACGCGGTGCCCTTTGCTGAGGTAGGCCTGTGTCAGCGACTGGCGTTGTCTTCGATGCACCATATGAGAGATCGATCGTAGGCCTACAGATTGAAATAAACAGTGCAAACATTTCTTTGAACATCTGGCACATGTATTAATTACCTTCTTGGGCTTCTTTGGATAACGAAATGATGTCGTGGGTACAATGGGAATCAATCTGTGCCACTCCTGTTTGTTCGGCAAATTGATCTAGACATTATCCAAGTGATCATCGGCGTAGCAAATTTTGCACGGGGACACTAAAGGGAGGGGGAGGACGGGAAAGTAAAAGAAGATGCTATGACCCCCTCTCCCGTCCTCCGATTAATCAATGCTCTTTTTAGTTTACATTTCACCCGTTTCCAATTCTCCATGACATCGTCTCCCCTCAATAGCAGGATCCCCGCTATATACGCCATTGATAATGGTTTTATTGTCGGCACCTCAAAATCCGTAGAAGAGTCTTGCGGAACACCGGTTGCGCCATAGCATAGGTTACGGGGTTGAGAAGGCTGTTTATAAATGTTACCCAACGTCCAACAGCACTTTTATTGGACGTTATGATTGATATGCAACTTGGCAGCGAAGTTATGAAAAATACCACAATGATGAAGGTCAGAGTACGCAAGGCTTTGTGATTATCCGCTGAAGACAGGTGCCGAGGGTTCCTTTGAGTCCCATCAGGTGTTGTTGAGTGTGTTGTACTGCGCATTGGTGTAACTTGGTGATTAAACGGTCGCATGTTTTGCTCCGGTGTTGTAGATGCCCGACCATGCTGTCCAACGTCTTCAACTATGTCAACTGTGATATGATCCGACTGGAGTGAGATCGATGGTTTTGAAGCATTCCCTTCAAGAACTTTAATAACACTAGTATTCTCTTCTTGATTAACGCTGCTATTAACATTGGTTTGAGAATTATTGCACTCTAGAATATCTACGAAACCATCATTGGTTCGTCCATGTTGTACTGAACTCGTGGCGTCAATTTTAGATCCAGTCTTTTCTTTTGAGTTAAATCGTTTTGATAGACTTCTGCTACCAGAAGTTTTTACTCGATGATAAATCTTTAAATAAAGGAGGACGATTATAATGAAAGGAATGACGAACCTATAGATCATAACCACAGTGCTGGCATGTATGTTCCTTTTGTAATTTGACCTAGATGTGTCTTCGTCGGGACTCACATCAAGTGGTTGCACGAAGTCCCAAATAGTCGCCATGGGAAACCAAAAAAATGCCGCTACTATCCAGGTAATGAAATTGACAATGTGGGCAATCTTTTTCTTCTTTCGTTTAAAGTGCTGGAGAGGGTAGTGAGTTGCAACGTAACGGTCTAAAGTTATGCCAATGATACCGAGAACGGATACAGTTACGACTGTATTCTGAATACCATTAAACACATTTAGAAAGGTTTGTCCGAATATCCACTCATCATAGAGATATACAGTACTGCGAATCGCCATGACGAACCCTACTAGAAGGTCGGAGATGGTGATGTTGAGGATGTACTGGTTCGTGTACGTCCGCAACTTTTTCTCGATGTGGAATGCTATTAGAATCAGGACGTTTAGCACCGCTGTGGTGACAGACAAGAACATGAGAAGGCCGAAAATAGCTATAGATTTGTAAGTAGGATCACCTGTCCATGGAATTGATTCTGTCAAATTCATCGAGCCAGTTGTACAAACGGCAAAAGAAGATAAGTCCCCAGTGGCCATTTGTATAAAGTTTCTCAAAACTCAACTGTAAATTTAGCAACTAAAGAACAATTCAGAATTGGTAATTCGGAGGAACGTACTTTTTTCTCTTCCAGCATTTGGTGAGGGCTGTAATTTAAGTACGAATCCAAATTCAGTCAAATACGGTTAATTTTCGCTGATATTCACAACCTTTCCCGAAGATATGTCGGTGTTACGGATCGCCATGATGAACACTACTAGAAGATCAGAGATGATGGTGAAAAAAGTAGGCTTAAAACAACAACTGAACCATCAGGTGAGTCCAATATCAGATTGACTGGCTCCGAGCTGTATACAAGCGTTAAGATTTACCATGCCTTATTCTTCTTCCACAGCTCACTGAGTAGGAGCAGAAATGAAGAAAATCCATTTAAATTTACTTTAAACGCGTTAAATTACCTTAACATATTTTTGCTGTATCTAATGGGTCCGTCCATTTTGTTAACTATCATTAATACACCACAATTTGTTTTTTTTTACCCAATTCTTGTTTCTACTTTTGAAAGAAAAAACCATAGAAAACAAAGTGTTTAATATGAACAAAATAAGCGTTCCGTGAAACACTGTTTTAACCACTAATCGGAGGATATTTGACGCAACACAAAAGTGTTGATGAGGCTGGTACTTTTGTGTATTTAAAATGCTAGCACTAAAATAATTGCTAACAAAGCCACAACAGCAACAACTTTAGTAAACATTAACAATACTTGATGTAACTATAAACTAAATATCAAAATGGCAAGAAAGATGATCACCTCGATCCGGCAAAGTGGTGTTCCCTTCTGAATGATCGATTTAGAGGTATGTAATCAGAAATGACGAAGTGAAGATCTACTTATATACTAATGCAACACGATATACCGCTGCATGTCATTTGAATAGATAGTCGAATTCTATACATTCCATAGATCATGATAACGCGTGGATCGTAACAAAGCGGATGGTGCTCTTTTTAGCAAGAATCTAAAGCAAAATGATATGCTGGAGTTGATATCTACGTAAAGATAGATGTTAGACTTAGCAGTCATTTTGAAAGAAGTATTGAACATGCATAGTCATATCAAAACAATCTAAAGGTTTTAATAGCACGAACCCTCGCTCATGTCCGCCTGGTTTCAATAGTAGTTCTATTCGTCATCAATCATATGACCCTACCTTTAAAATCTCGCAGCTTTGATGAAGGGTGAGGTAAACGTGTTCAAGAATTTTTACTTCTGATACCCATTGAAATCACCTGGGTTGCGTGAGGCAAATATAAGAATAATCTGCGTTTGTTCGTAATGCTAGTAACGCGGTGCTCTTTGCTGAGGTAGGCCTGTGTCAACGACTGGTGTTGTCTTCGATCCACTATGTGAGAGATCACTCGTCGGCCTACAGATTGAAAATGAACAGTGCAATCGTTTTGTTGAATTACTGGCACATGTATTAGTTGCCTTCTTGGGCTTGTTTGGATATCGAAATGTCACCTTGTGTACAGTAGGAATCAATATGTGCCACCCTTGTTTGTTCAGCACATTAATCTAGACAATATGCAAGAGATCATTGGCGTAGAACATTTTGCACGGGGACACTAAAGGGAGGACGGACGGGGAAGTAAAAGAAGATGCTATGACCCCGTCTCCCATCCTGCACCTAATCAATGATCTTGTTAGTTTACATTTCATCCGTTTCCAAAAAAACCTGACATCGGGGCTACCTTATCAGAAACCACAACAGAACACAATTGTATAAAGGAATAATGAAATGTTAATCTTCAGCCTACAAATCGTGGCGTCAAAAATCAACAGAATATAAACAATTTAATAGTACATAACTTTAATATAGGGCAACTTCCATCTCGTGAGTCCCTCACAGCTCCTGGTCGCTTGGCCAGTCTCTAGACTGCGTAGAAATCCCCATCGACTTGGCAGCTCATCTCTATCTCTGTCGATGACTCCCCTGGTCGCTTTGGCCAGTCTCTAGACTGCGTAGAAATCCCCGTCGACTTGACAGCTTATCTCGCCCCGACGTGGAGGTCTCTCTGAAGAAAAATGTTTCTTCTCCCTTACTAAATAATTCTGCCTCGTGCATTAAACGTCTGCACCGTAGCACTGACTTGAAGGGTTTTGTCCATTACTCTAAAGCAACTTCCCTTTACCCTAACTTTGCCAGGTCCTTAACATTCCAAACCTCTTAGGTCTGCCAGCTATTACTATTTATATTCAATAGCCAACCCAAAATCATGCATACCAAAACCCCATATACTGTGTGTCTTAAATGCAAATGTAAGCAATAATGCATCCTATGCTTGGCTACCTCTAACTGACCTTAGAGTAGTACATTTCCTTTAAGTAGTACATTTCCTTGAGAAGTACATTTCCTTGAGTAGTACATTTCCTTGAGTAGTACATTTCCCTTCTCTTCTAAAAAAAATTCCTTTCATGACACCCTCAATGGCTGGATCCCCGCTATACGCCATTGCTATTATCGTCGGCACCTCACAATCCGTAGAAGGGTCTTGCGGAACACTGGTTGCGCCATAGCATAGGTTACGGGGTTGAGAAGGCTATTGATAAATGTCATCCAACGACTTACAGCAGCAAGTGTTGTTTTATTGGACGTTATGATTGATATGCAACTTGGCAGCGAAGTTATAAAAAACACCACAATGATGAAGGTCAGAGTACGAAAGGCTATATGATTATCCGCTGAAGACAGATGCCGAGGGTTCCTTTGAATCCCATCGGGTGTTGTTGATTGTGTTGTATTTCGCATTGGTGTAACGTGATGTTGTATATGTTGCATGCTTTGCTCCGGCGATTTAAATACTCGACCAAGCTGTCGAACGTCTTCAACTGTGTCAACTGTGATATGATCCGACTGGATTGAGGTTGATGGTTTTGTAGCGTTCTCTTGAAGAACTACAATGACGCTAGCATTCTCCCCTTGAATAACACTGATGTTAAAATTGGTCTGAGAGGTGTTGCCCTCTAAAATTTCTACGAAACCATTATTGGTTCGTCCATGTCGTACTGCACTCGTGGCGTCAATTTTAGATCCAATCTTTTCTTCGAATGCATATCGTCTGGATACCCTTTTGCTACCAGACGTTTTTACTCGATGATAAATCTTTAAATAAAGGAGGACGATTATAACGAAAGGGAGGACAAACCTACAAATCGTAATCACAGTGCTGGCATAGATGTTCCTTGAGTAATTTGACGTAAAAATGTCTTCTTCGGGATTCACATCAAGTGGTTGCACGAAGTTCCAAATAGTCGCGATGGGAATCCAAAAGCATGCCGCTACTATCCATGTAATGACATTGACAATGTGGGCAATCTTTTTCTTCTTCCGTTTAAAGTGCTGGAGAGGGTAGTGAGTTGCAACGTAACGGTCTAAACTTATGGCAATGATACCGAGAATGGACACAGTTACAACTGTATTCTGAATACCTATAAACACATTTAAAAGGGTTTGTCCGAATATCCACTCATCATAGAGATAGACAATACTGCGGATCGCCATGATGAACCCCACCAGAAGATCGGAGATGGTCATGTTGAGGATGTACTGGTTCGGGTACGTCCGCAACTTTTTTTCGATGTGGAATGCTATTAGAATCAGGACGTTTTAATAGCACCGCTGTCGTGACAGACAAGAACATGAAGAGGCTGAAAATAGCTACAGGTGTGCCAGTAGGACCACCTGTCGATGGAATTGATTCAGTCTCATTCATCGAGTCAAATGTACAACCAGCAATAGAACATAAGTCCTCAGTGTCCATTTTCATAAAGTTTCTCAATACCCAACTGTACATTTAGCAAGTAACCAACATTAGACTTAGCATGCATTTTGAAAGAAGTATTGAACATGCATAGTCATATCAAAAAACAATCTAAAGGTTGTAATAGCACGAACCCTCGCTCATGTCCGCCTGGTTTCAATAGTAGTAATATTTCGTCATCAATCATATGACCCTACCTTTAAAATCTCGCAGCTTTGATAAGGGGTGGGGTAAACGTGTTCAAGGAATTTTTCCTTCTGATACCCATTGAAATCACCTGGGTTGCGTGTGGCAAATATAAGAATACTCTGCGTTTGTTCGTAATGTTAGTAACGCGGTGCTCTTTGCTGAGGTAGGCCTGTGTCAGCGACTAGCGTTGTCTTCGATGCACCATGTGAGAGATCGCTCGTAGGCCTACAGATTGAAATGAACAGTGCAAACATTTGGTTGAATTACTGGCACAGGTATTAGTTGCCTTCTTGGGCTTGTTTGGATATCGAAATGACACCTTGTGTACAGTAGGAATCAATATGTGCCACCCTTGTTTGTTCGGCACATTAATCTAGACAATATGCAAGTGATCATTGGCGTAGAAAATTTTGCGCGGGGACACTAAAGGGAGGAGGGACGGGGAAGTAAAAGAAGATGCCATGACCCCCTCTTCATCCTCCGATTAATCAACGATCTTGTTAGTTTACATTTCACCCGTTTTTGATTCTCCATGACATCGGTGCCCCTCAATGGCTGGATCTGGATTGTCGTCGGCACCTCACAATCCCTAATATAGTCTTGCGGAACACTGGTTGCGCCATAGCATAGGTTACGGGATTGAGAAGGCTACTGATAAATGTCATCCAACGACCAACAACAGCGAGTGTTGTTTTATTGGATGTTATGATTGCTATGCAACCTGGAATCGAAGTTTTGAAAAACGCCACAAGTGATGAAGGTTAGAGTACGCAAGGTTTTGTGATTGCCCGCTAGCTACAGGTTTGTCAGTAGGACCACCTGTCGATGGAATTGATTCTGTCACATTCATCGAGTCAAATGTACAAACAGCAACAGAACATAAGTCCTTAGTGGCCATCTTCATTAATTTTCTCAATACTCAACTGTAAATTTAGCAACTAACTAACATTTCAGTATAAGTAATGCAGAGGGACGCACTTTGGCGTTTTCCAGCATTTGATTTGGATTACATTTCAAGTTCGAATACAAATTCAGTCAAATAAGGAAAAAATTTGAGCTGATATCTTATTCAATATATTAATAGAGAGAGATTTAGAGTTTTAGCATTTAATCTTGTTTTATGCGGTTCCTCTGTTCGGTAGCGTGAGTATGCTTAACACTTCCAGAATAGATTGTTAATATGATCGCATTTTCAATGACGGCAGAGCACGTGATGCAATCAATGACTTCGCAATGACGTGTTGATGAATTTCGTAGACGTGCTCAATGACTAATTTCGGCAATCCTAATAAATTGAATCCAAGATTGCATAAAACGATGTTCAATATAATCAGTCGGATAAGATATTAGTCCGCCCGAAATTTTATTAACAGTCAATTTTGCTTGTATTTATAGAGGCCCACACAGTGATCGCGCATAATTTAGCTGATACTGTTGGACATTTTATTAAAGGATTATGTTACTATTCAAAGAAAGGCAAAAGCACGTTTGCTGTCAACCCTAATTACATTGATATTAAACTTGGTGTGCTCGAACCATAATAGTGACTGATGAAAATTCTTCAACCAAAAGTATGATTCACATCAACATAGACTTATTCAATCTACATCAAGCTATACACATGCAAGCTCACTTGGAAGAAGAAAAAATTATTTCATTTTTTTTTTTAAATCCATTTTCACATCAAGTTTATAAAGGAGTACAAATTAAGATTATACAGCTAGATGATAATTATCAACTTGCAACAGAAAAGTTCAACTATTAAAAGTGACAAATGCTTAACGAAACAAGCCGAGACTAATGATGAACGACTAGATTAAAATGAGTAAAGGGAATAATCTCATAAATTACATAAATGGTATCCACCGCAACTTTGGGTATATACACCATGGGAACAACAGCTATACATTTCGGGCACAGTAGAGTCCATCTCACCAGGTTTCCCACGCCAGCATTCGTCGCAATCAGAAAAAGACCCGAGCCGACAAACATAGCGTGTTGAGGATAGGGGAGCCAGCCATCAACCGCGATATCTTGTCTTCAGGAGGTCTTCACCAGTGAAGCTATTGGCTGGACAAAGGGCTCATCAAGTTTCATAATGGAACATCAGAGAACCAAAAATTAAACCGACCTTTAAGTAATCATCGATGTTAAACCAATTCATGTGAACGCGCCATAGACGTTATCAGAACTGGGACTACAGCCAGAGTGGTCACCAGAACTTAAGAGAGAGTCACTGCAATGACCAAACTAGGACCGGAAACAGAGGTTTAATCAGAACTGTGACCAGGGCCCAGAGTGATGAACAGAACTGGAGCCAGAGCCACTGTGGTGACCACGAATGGTTCAAAATCTAGAGACGTGATCAGAACTGGAGCCGGGGCCAGAGCCACTGTAATGACCATGTAGAACTGGAATCAGAGCCATAAAAGGGATTAAAACTGGAACCAGGAGCCAGAGTGATGACTGACCAGAACTGGGACCAGAGCCAGAGTGATGGCAAGAACTAGAGCCAGCGCCATTTTAATGATCAGAAATTGTACCACGGTCACAGACGTAATTAGAACTGGAACCAGGAGCAAAACTGATGACCAGAACTAGGACCAGAGCCAGAGTGATGACCAGAACTAGAGCCAGCGCCAATTTGACAATCAGAAATTGTACCAAAGCCAGAGATTCGATCAGAACTTGAGCCGGAGTCAGAGCCACTGTAAAATCAGAGCCATAGACGTGATCAGAACTGGGACCAGAGCCAGGGTGGTGACCAGAACTGGAGCCAGAGCAACTATGATGATCAGAACTGCTACCAGAGCCATAGACGTGATCAGAACAGGGACCAGAGCCAGAGGTGATGATCAGAACTGCATGAAGCCAAAGCCACTGTCATGACCAGAAATGGTACAAAAGCCAGAGGACAGAACGACTGAATATAAGAACTCGAAGTGAACTTAACCCCGACAAGAAAAAACGCCCTGTAAATTTTTTTATGATGGATTCTGCCCACTTACAGCCTTTTAAATTGCTCAGTTGAGTATTTAAATTCTAACGCTTGAAGTGGATCTTTTGCGCAACTCAAATTTTGACTTTGGTTTGATTTGATTTCTGCACTTTACCAAATAAGTCCATTTAAACAATAATTTAAAAAATGATTGAAAAAACATTGATAACTTGGTGTCAAAATGTGAATTAGATATATACATATAATAACTAACTTGATATTTATACAGTATATAACATATACTTTTAAATTTATAGTATTATCCGAACTGTCTGTGGAAAATGTAGAAAATCACAATTATAACCGTGCGCGCGCGCGTGTGTGTGTGTGTAGTGAATGGTAGATGTGCACGTAGCTCTATGTTGTATGGTGGGGTAGAAACAAAGGTAGCGTTTTTGATAAGGGAAACAATTGATAAAAATAGCGAATATGACTTGCAATGTTACCAAAATTTTAGATAGGCCTATTGCATGTTGAAATCAAATATGTTGATATTTCGATATGAGATGCTTTAAAAAACAGCGATAACTTTGCCTTATTGAATTTGGGAGAGAGTTCTAAATATTCTATAAAGGAATCGATGTAATTCCCTTAACGGAAACATGGTTACACGATGATATTAATGAATGGGAGATCAACATCCTAGCTGTATTCGACCATTCGGATGGACTGATCTGGCCAGTGGCGTACGAAGGATTTTTTCAAAGGGGGAGGGGGGGTTTAACATTTAGAAATCGGGCCAAAAAATTCGCAACGAGCTTGGGGATGCTCCGCCCCTGGACCCTCCGCCAATTTACGCTCCACTTACTTCGCTCTACCTGATCGTAAATACTTTAGCCCCCCCCCCTGAAAATGTTTCGCGGGGCCTGCATGTAACATGTAAGAGTGGTGTAGTGATACGGATTTTTTTCTCCCCCCCCAAAAAAAAAAAGTTGTTGTTCATTACGCCACTGCTTCCTCGTTCTCGCATTTCGTCCCCCCCCCCCCGGTCATGAAAAGAAATCGCCACCCCTGGAACCATGAATAAAGCAAATTTACTTGACTTAAATGAAGAAAAAAATAATTCTTAGAACTTTGATAGACGGCTCCGATTTGGTTTCTAGGAATAAAATTTGAAACAAAGCCCAATACAATGAGGAAAAGGAGACCAAACGAGAAACGCAAATATACCTGCTGACAAAGTATATCATTGATTTTACTCATGATTAATGTAACGCTTCATTCGCATTGCAACCTCATATCATATCAATTATTCTTGTCACATTTATTCACATCAATTCCACATCGACCGAGTCAACTTTAGATAGAACCATGCATGGATAAAGCAACTTTACTGGACTTAAAGGGATAGTTGAGTTCTGTTGCGGAGAGCGCTACACACAATAATTTTTGTGTGAGATAATGAATTTAAAACAAAAATAATGAAAAAGTGAGTGTCAAATTTAAAAGAACATACAATTTAAATGACAAAATCATCTTTGTTTGATAAAAAAAAAGGTTCAGAGACGGCTGAAATATCCATAAATATAACGATTTTTAATATTGTGTACCACTACAAATATTTGACAATTTGAAAAACGCCTTTTA